GAACAAACGAACATTACATTTTTATTTATATAGATAGATAGAAGATGATCTGCTTTAGTTCATTTTCACAGAAAAGTGTAATGCCTCACAGAAAAGCAAACTTAGGGCGTCGTACTCGTAGCGCCATCTGTTGGACATAAAAGCCTCAGCCTAGATTATATATTTTAATTTATATGAATGTTTAACGGAATAATATACAGCCTATGTCCACCCTGAGGTGCCATTCTAAATATTGGTGAAAGAATTTTTGAAATCGGATAAGTAGTTTCGGAGATTACCTGCTGCAAAGAAACTTACATACATACATACATACTGTACTTACAAACATTACCTCTTTATAATATTAGTATAGATATAAATTATTTCGACATTAGCGCCAAACTTTCGCCTATCGGGAAATTTTAAAACTATACTTTTTATTTGCATAATAGAAATTTTATGATCAGGAAAGTATACAAGCCAAATTTGGTTACATTTGGCCTAACACTTCTTTCTACACAGAGCCTCTGTTTAATAACCCTACGGTGATTAACCCTTATATTTTCTTTACAGTTCGAAATGGTGTGCGTTGCCATAACAAATGATGACGTAGATTTATTTGTAATTTTTTTCACAATTTAAGTGTTTTAAAAATTACATTTATTCGAAAAAGTTTTTATATATGTTATAGATTTATTTAACATAGCCCGTTTAAATTCTTTTACGGAGCTTTAAAACATTAAAACTCTCTATGTAGTAATATTTTAAAGCACATTTATATATTAATATCTTATTTACATTAAAATAGCAATTGTTTATAATTTTAAGAAAACATTTTAGCTTATATTAAGGAAAATCAAAGTAATATGTTTGGAAAAGTGAATTATCTCCGCTATTTTTGTGAGTAAGCCGCCATTTTGAATCGTAAAATGACCCTCCGCCGTTTTGAAAAATCGCTGCATACATGAAAAACAAATACATTTTTAGAAGAAATAAACCATATTTTTTCTTCAAAATATCACGAAAATTTCATGAGGTTTAACCTAATTTGAATATATTTTTAAACATAATCCAGGAAGTGTGTAAATATTTGTTTTAAATTTAAAGATTACGCTCAATCTTTATAAAATTAAAGCTGTTAATTCTAAAAATTGTAAAATTTAAATTAATTTCCTAAACTACGCGTACATTTGTACATCGTACACGAAGATTCATTGATTAGTTAACACGAGATCATATGACCAGTCATAATTAAACCTATTACAAGCAAAAACGTGACTCAATGCAGCATTAACATTGAAATTAGATACGTAGTATCAATGCTTCTATCCATACTATCGGTTGTAAATGGGTATTTGAATCGAATTTGGACCCTGATTCTCCTCCAAGTATGCAAAAGGTTAGTTTTTAAAAATTTCTACCAATTTTTAAGCGTTATAATGAACAGGATACACATATTTAGGAGTAAAAGGTCTCACACAAAACACCACCTGAAGGGATGTACTTGTGATATGTGTGAGTATTAGCATGCATTTATACATGTATATATTTCAATGTTACTCACATAGATTATATTTTATAAACACGTGAAGAAAATCCGGAAACCTCCACGTGACAGGCGCGAACACGTGATCAACTATTAGTGTTTTATCCACTCGACCACTAATGGACCGCATAAACATAATTATTTTTTATTTTACTAATAAAACAAACAGTTATATAAAATTTGACTTTTATTAAAATTAAAAAATATATATTTTTAAAGTGTTTCATTGTTTACTTGACAGATACCTTCAATATTAAAATAATGTAGAAAGCTATCAATTCCAGGAGGTGGGGATGGTTTGACGCATATCAGACCTCTTCCACACTGACCATACACTTTATAAGGTCCATCACATACTTCACCGACATTCTGGAACCACACGTTCAATGTTCAATGTTAAAAATATTATGTAAAAATCTATGTTTATGGTTGTTTTGTGGCTCACCTTAGCGCAGACTTTACAGCATCCACACGTGTTATAAACTGTACCAACTGGACATTCTTCTTCAGTTTTATTAATGCACGTTGCTTCTTCACAGGGTATACAAGTCAATGTTCTCCCAACACTTAAAATAATTTAGTTTTTAATTAATTTTTTAGGAATTAACACGTATAGGGCCTATATTAATAGATAACTGAGGAAGTTACTTACTCCAACAAACCCGAGAGAAGTACAATGAAGATGCTTAATCTAGAAGCCATTTAGATGATGACGTTGACGTGTTTAGACATTTTCGATGGAGAAAGAGGGTATTTATAAGAAATTTTTTAACAGAAATGGGAATTTTATCCTTGTCAAACTGTCAAAATCGTATTGTTAAACAGATAAAGAATATTATTCTTGAAGACAATAATACTTTTGTGTGAATGTCAAGGTTTCATCTTCACTTCAGTGATTCTTGTCACTTATAATTGTGACATTCAATATATTATTCGTTATTATTAATAGTGTCCTCTAAAGAATTTTACTATACTTTATATATAGGCCTACATATCATTTTTCAACACCTAAAGTCTTAATGATGTATACATTCCATGGTTTGTTTGCATACGACAATGCGACACGTGGGCGATCTGCCGAGGAGGTGCCTCCCAGGAGGACTTTCTACAGGAAACTGGTCCTTATTTAGGTGTTATAAACGTGAAGAAACCAGCTAAACTTCATGTGACCCATCTGTTGGCAAGGGATGAACCTACGATCAACCAGTGTTCACAGTTTTATTCACTGGTTGGCGTGCATTACCTTGTTAATTAATTAAAANATCCATAAGGATATAATTAAATAGCTTATAACTATAGCAACAGTAATATTAATTAGAAGAGATTATTCATATGGTTAAATTTATAGGATTTGCTGATGAGGTTAGAATTATAAGACATTGTTAATAATAGAAAAATTAAACTAGAGATGTACAGTACATACAGTATATTTTTAATTGTGAGCTTAATTTATAATTAATTTCACGTATAAAAATTATATTTTAAGAAGCAAAATTAAAGCATAAGTATACAAGTAACGTATCATTGCAGAAAGATGAGTAGGATTGTCTTATGCATTTTCTTCTGTGCTGGACTTTTGTTATGGTAATTTTATGTTGTTTCTTCGTTAAAATATACATAAATTATGCTTTCTCTAAAAATATGTTTAATTATATACAGTGTGGAAACACGTAAATGTCCAAGATGTGATAAAAACCATTGTCAAAAAAAGAGAGACAGCGATTGTCCTGCTGGTCTTGTGCTCGATAAGTGTAATTGCTGTCTTGTCTGTGGAAAAGTATTAATTATTTTTTAATTATAATTACTTTTTTTTATTTTTTAAAAATTTAATTAATTATATATATTTTTTATTTATTAGACACTAAATCAACGATGTGGAGGAGGTTATCGAAATTATGGAAAATGTGGAAGAAATCTTGTCTGCAAGCCAGACAGCACATCATCTGACAATGCTAGCACCTGTAAAAAGGCTTAATTCTATTTTTAAAAAATTAATTAACAAATAACTTTTAAATTAATTTAAAAAATATTTAAAAATTAATAAATTAACACAGAATTTCGACATGAATATGGAAAAATTTATTCTGTTTCTATTTGTAATTAATACTCATTTGGTGTTTACAATTATGTAATTATTGAATGATAAATAATAAAGAAAAATAATACACTTTAAGAAGGAATAGTTAGTGTTTTTTAAATTATTGATGGGGGACTCCCCAGGTGGCGGATAGGGGAAGGCCTCCCAGATATGGGTGGTACGGAGGAAATAAAACACTCCGGGCGGACTAAAACTAACAATAGTCACGCCTGTCTCAGAATGAGCGGTGACCAGCAGTGTTTGTATTCCATGTGAGGAGCGGGGAAGGCAACGGGAAACTACCCCAGTGAATTGTTCCCAGGAAAAAAAAACACAAACAACGGCTCCCAGTCCCGGGCAGCCCGTGAATGGACAGGGGTGCGAAGAATCTCTCGGTTTAACATAGTAAAATCTAAACTTCGTATCGCCACATGGAATGTTAGGAGTGTTGATGCGAGTGGGAAATTTGCAAACGTCATCAAAAAAGCGCAAAGACTCAAAGTAAATATACTTGGCATAAGCGAACTAAGTTGGTCAGACTCCGGAAAGTGCCAAAATGAACATGGCACTCTACTATTCTGGAAGTGATTCCCACGACCGACACCATATTAATGGGGTTGGAATATTTGTTTCATCTGAATATAATAAATATGTCACTAACTTCGTTTCAATAATAGACCGTGTAATGCTCCTAGTTATCCCTTCAAAGTTATCCCTTCAAAATCAACATCATCCAGTTATATGCTCCAACAGTTGACAAAAAATACGATGAACGGGTAGAGGCTCTTTATGATACGATCGGTAAGATCATAAGCAAAACAAAATCCGATGAAATAACGCTAGTTATGGGAGATTACAATGCTAAGATCGGAGAAGGAAAGCGATCAGACCTTGTTGGAGAGCACGGTCTTGGAATAAGTAACCAAACAGGAGATAGACTCTATGAGTTCTGTCAAGAAAGAGAAATGGTAATTGCGAACACTTGGTTCAAACTCCCCAAGAGACGGCTTTACACATGGATATCTCCCATCGAAGACAATAATGGTACTCCCATAAGAAATCAAATTGACTATATTCTGATCAATAAACGTTTCAGGAACATTATAAAACAGGTAACAACCTATCCCGGTGCTGACATCGGTTCTGATCTGAAACTAAAACAATTATGTAATTATTGAATGATAAATAATAAAGAAAAATAATACACTTTAAGAAGGAATTAGTTAGTGTTTTTTAAATTATTGATGGGGGACTCCCCAGGTGGCGGATAGGGGAAGGCCTCCCAGATATGGGTGGTACCGAGGAAATGAAATACTCGGGGCGGACTAAAACTAACAATAGTCACGCCTGTCTCAGAATGAGCTGTGACCAGCAGCGTTTGTACTCCATGTGAGGAGCGGGGAAGGCAACGGGAAACTACTCCAGTGAATTGTTCCCAGGATATTACTATGGAAAAAAAACACAAACAACGGCTCCCAGTCCCGGACAGCCCGTGAATGGGCAGGGGTGCGAAGAATCTCTCGGTTCAACATAGTAAAATCTAAACTTCGTATCGCCACATGGAATGTTAGGAGTGCTTTATGCGAGTGGGAAATTTGCAAACGTCATCAAAAAAGCGCAAAGACTCAAAGTAAATATACTTGGCATAAGCGAACTAAGTTGGCCAGACTCCGAAAAGTGCCAAAATGAACATGGCACTCTACTATTCTGGAAGTAATTACCACGACCGACACCACATTAATGGGGTTGGAATATTTGTTTCATCTGAATATAATAAATATGTCACTAACTTCGTTTCAATAATAGACCGTGTAATGCTCCTAGTTATCCCTTCAAAATCAACATCATCCAGTTATATGCTCCAACAGTTGACAAAAAATACGATGAACGGGTAGAGGCTCTTTATGATACGATCGGTAAGATCATAAGCAAAACAAAATCCGATGAAATAACGCTAGTTATGGGAGATTACAATGCTAAGATCGGAGAAGGAAAGCGATCAGACCTTGTTGGAGAGCACGGTCTTGGAATAAGTAACCAAACAGGAGATAGACTCTATGAGTTCTGTCAAGAAAGAGAAATGGTAATTGCGAACACTTGGTTCAAACTCCCCAAGAGACGGCTTTACACATGGATATCTCCCATCGAAGACAATAATGGTACTCCCATAAGAAATCAAATTGACTATATTCTGATCAATAAACGTTTCAGGAACATTATAAAACAGGTAACAACCTATCCCGGTGCTGACATCGGTTCTGATCTGAAACTAAAACAATTATGTAATTATTGAATGATAAATAATAAAGAAAAATAATACACTTTAAGAAGGAATTAGTTAGTGTTTTTTAAATTATTGATGGGGGACTCCCCAGGTGGCGGATAGGGGAAGGCCTCCCAGATATGGGTGGTACGGAGGAAATAAAACACTCCGGGCGGACTAAAACTAACAATAGTCACGCCTGTCTCAGAATGAGCGGTGACCAGCAGTGTTTGTATTCCATGTGAGGAGCGGGGAAGGCAACGGGAAACTACCCCAGTGAATTGTTCCCAGGAAAAAAAAACACAAACAACGGCTCCCAGTCCCGGGCAGCCCGTGAATGGACAGGGGTGCGAAGAATCTCTCGGTTTAACATAGTAAAATCTAAACTTCGTATCGCCACATGGAATGTTAGGAGTGTTGATGCGAGTGGGAAATTTGCAAACGTCATCAAAAAAGCGCAAAGACTCAAAGTAAATATACTTGGCATAAGCGAACTAAGTTGGTCAGACTCCGGAAAGTGCCAAAATGAACATGGCACTCTACTATTCTGGAAGTGATTCCCACGACCGACACCATCTTAATGGGGTTGGAATATTTGTTTCATCTGAATATAATAAATATGTCACTAACTTCCTTTCAATAATAGACCGTGTAATGCTCCTAGTTATCCCTTCAAAATCAACATCATCCAGTTATATGCTCCAACAGTTGACAAAAAATACGATGAACGGGTAGAGGCTCTTTATGATACGATCGGTAAGGTCATAAGCAAAACAAAATCCGATGAAATAACGCTAGTTATGGGAGATTACAATGCTAAGATCGGAGAAGGAAAGCGATCAGACCTTGTTGGAGAGCACGGTCTTGGAATAAGTAACCAAACAGGAGATAGACTCTATGAGTTCTGTCAAGAAAGAGAAATGGTAATTGCGAACACTTGGTTCAAACTCCCCAAGAGACGGCTTTACACATGGATATCTCCCACCGAAGACAATAATGGTACTCCCATAAGAAATCAAATTGACTATATTCTGATCAATAAACGTTTCAAGAACATTATAAAACGGGTAACAACCTATCCCGGTGCTGACATCGGTTCTGATCATGTCCCATTAATAGCTGATCTGAAACTAAAACTTAAAGCAACAAAACAAAAATAAGACATCTCAAAACTTGGAATGAACAAATAAAGCAACAAGTACAACAGGACATTAACCATGAACTTTCTGCAATAAAAGACACCAATGATAGTGTTTCATCTTTATGGAATGAGCTACAGGATAATCTGCGAAAAGTAGCTACTAAATACCTGAAACCTGAAACGAGAAAAAGCCAGAAAAGATGGATGAACATAAACATCTTAGATCTGATGGAGAAACGAGGAATCGTGAAAAATAATAGGGAAGAATACCAAAAGCTTAACAAAACTATTAAGAAGGAGATAAAGCTGGCGAAAGAAAGATGGATGAAAGATAAACGTGAAGAAATGGAAGAACTTGACAAGAAACATGATAGCTTCCAAATGAACAAAAAAGTAAGAGAGATAGCTGGAATATACAGAAAGAGACCATCTCACACACTGTTTAGCTCAGCAAACCAGCTATCACACGTGAAGAAGAAATCAAAGAAATCTGGGAAACATATACAGTAAACGAGCTTTTTCGTGACAATAGAGCGTCCAAAGCAAGTGATGACGACTGTAACAATGGTCCCGAAATACTAAAAGAAGAAGTCTTGAATGCAATTTCTATTACTCAAAATAAAAAACCACTGGGCCAGATGAGATCCCCATTGAAATCATTAAGCTTATAACAGAGGATAACATAGAACGAGTTATAAAGCTATTTAAACTCATCTATAACACAGGAACAATACCGGAGGATTGATTAACATCAACATTTATCACAACATCAAAAAAGACTAACCGCAAAAAGTGCAGCGATTACCGTCTGATTGGTTTGATGAGTCATCTCTTAAAGGTCTTGCTAAGAGTGATTCACACCAGAATCCGCTTAAAATGTGAATTTGATCTTGATAGCAGGCAGATGGGATTTAGGGTGCGACTATGCAGACGCGAATTTAGTAGCGAGCGAGAGGTTGCGATATAGTTGTCGCAAAGGAAAGCCATGCACAAGCGAGAACCGAGAAATATCGCTGGCGAGAGCGAATTTCTGGTTCTCGCACATATCTGAAAGGGTTTGATATTTATCGCGTCTCGCCTCTTCTCGCCAGATATTCTCACTCGCTCGCGTCTGCATAGTCGCACCCTTAGAAAGGCATTTGGAACGCGAGAAGCCTTGTTCTGTACAAATGTGCTACTACAAAAATGCCGAGATCAGAGAAAAGAAATTTTCGCCTGCTTTATCGATTTCGAGAAAGCATTTGACAGAGTGCGGCATGACAAACTGATCGATATGCTTTTTTAGCTGCAGCTGGACATCGAAGACATTCGAATCATCAAAAACTTATACTGGGACCAAATAGCCGAAGTCCGTATAGACAACCTGTAAACGAGAACTATCAACATACAACGTGAAGTCCGACAGGAATGCGTCCTCTCACCCCTTTTATTTAACTTATATTCAGATAGGATTTACAAAGAAGCATTTGAAGGAGTAGAGCTGGACATTAAAGTTAATGGAGTTGTTCTAAATACAATAAGATATGCGGATGATACGCTTATCATGTGCGACACCATAGATGGACAACAACAGCTAGTGAACAAAATCAATGAAACTGGAAAAGACTCAAGTCTTAACATTAATGTCAGCAAGATCAAATTTATGGTGTTAAGTCGGGATCAACATGAAGACGCCCGATAGAAAGGAGCAATCATTTTAAATACCTAGGAAGTATGATCACATCCAACATGGACTCTGATACTGAAGTTAAATGCAGAATTGAAACAGCTCGTGCTTACTTTAAAAAAAATGAGAGCTCTCTTTTGCAATGACAATCCCAATCTCAGACTAAGACAACGGATGGCGAAATGCTACATCTGGTCGGTTCTATTATATGGTGTCGAAAGTTGGAATCTAAAAAAGAACACAATAAATCGGCTGGAGGCTTTTGAAATGTGGATCCTCCGTAGGATGCTTCGAATACGATGGACTGTCTTAATAAGAAACGACGAAGTCTTACGAAGAGTAAATTTTAAGAGATCGCTAATCACTAACATAAAGTGTCGCAAAATTGCCTACCTTGACCATGTGTTACACGGAGAAAAATACCGCCTTCTCCAGCTGATACTGAAAGAAAAGATTGAACAGAAATGAAGTGCTGGTAGAAGGCAGACATCATGGCTAAAGAACATCAAAGAATGGACTGGTATACAAAAAATTGGAGATTTCTTTAGACTGCGAAAGATCGTGAAGCCATAGTGATCGCCAAAGTCCGGGGACTGGATAAGGCACATTAAGAAGAAGAAGATAAATTAAGAATTGTTGCTAATATTTGAGTTTAGAATAGTATCAATAAAATTAATTTAGAGAAAAATACCTCCATGAAGCCTGAGAATTTTCATTTAAAAAATAAAGAGCAATCTTGTATAAGTATATACTTCATTGAACATTCACATAATTGGCGGGACTAATATTAAAACACATTTTAAAAACATTAATATAGTCGTGACCTCTCATTGGAGATTTGTTAATCATGTGAATAACTTTAAAAATGTTCTCAAAAAGTTATTTTGTTGAAGATAATTCTTCAGATGCCCAGTTATTGCTCTGTAAAACCATCACGTAGAGTACATCAATGACAGACACATTTTAGCTTGTTGATTTACCTAATGATTACAATCTGATGATTACAAGATGTCATTCATGTAAGTGAATCATGTTATTCATATACTTTTAAAGGATTTTCTTTCAATTTTTAAAATAAGAAATAATTCAGATTAACCATATGAAAGATAAGATACCAACTTAAATTCACAATCTGGATTACTAATTTTAGCAATTAAGTACAAACCTTTTTATTGTAAAAAATTATTAATTTAAAATAAGCGGTAAAAATATTTTACAGGCTTAAACAAATTTTTGATGCGTCTAAAAAGTTCGGTGAATGTTAGAGTAAAAGCAATAAAACATAAGATACATAGGAATTACTTTAATTGGGCTTTAAAGTACTCTTCATGAGGCACAACACATTTTTGACAATATTCGTAAAGCTTCTGGAAACAGTTGGAAAAGTCTTATATGGGAATCACCTTAAAAACTGCTGTCACACGGGCCTGAATTGCAGGGATGTCAGTTAAATGTGATCAATTGATAACGTTTTTGAGATATTAAGGGATTATGTTTTGCTGATATCTCTGAAGATCTCTGAAACAAAAAAGAAGTCTGTAGGCAGAGGCGGGGGGTAATACGGCAGATAATCCAGTCACACCATACTGAGTCAATAACTAGCACACAAGATCGCACAGTGAGAAGCGCGTTGTTGTGCAGAAAATTCCATTTTCTGGTCTCGTAGAACTCTGACAATACGCTTTGGAGGCGCTTCGACAAACTGTTCAGTGCTGCCATGTTATGCTGTTGTTACATTGCCCTTTGATGCCCCTTCTCACATAGACTGTGCTAGGAAACACTTTTAGATATGTCCCAGGATGTCCATGCATGTGCTCGATCATAACGCATGCATTGCATTCAAAATAGCCTAATATTTATTGAACATTTTAGATACATCATGTATATTTATTCTAGAAAAATGAATAAATTGATCTTCATTCAGTTTTATTTGGCCATATTTTTGTACTGAGTATAAATAAATTAATTTTTATTATATTAAAATGTTGTTTTTAATTCAAAATTATATTCATGATTAGCGCTAATTCAAAATGCAAAATGTGTGGAACGTATGAATGCTACCAGAGAAAAAGAATGCCCTTCTGGTACAGTAATTGATGCTTGTAAATGCTGTCGTATTTGCGGACAGGTAATTATTAATTTTTAATTAAATTTATTAATAAAATTAATCAAATTTCATGAAAAATTTTAATTACATTTTTAAAACTTTCGTAGAACGATAATGAAATTTCTGGTAGAAATTGGGATCCACTTGGAAAATGTAGGAAGAGATTTCTCTGGTCGCTATCGTTGATAAGTGAATTGCATATTTCTCATAGATATTTTAAAGTTATAAATTGTTTGGAACCGATGATCGAGCTATTAACAAATGCCTTATTATTCTACAGAGATTAATAAGAAATATTAGGAATTACTTGAATTCATGACATCTTATGGGGTTTACCTCTTCAATACATACATTAACTGCATTGGATTAAAAAGATAAAATAAGGTAATGCAACATATGGGTAATCTGCCAGGAAGATGTGCCTCTCTCGAGAGCATTCTATGTCAAAATATCCTCTAGTTACTTGTTTAACATGAGAAGAAAACCCGAAAAACACTACACGCAAGCCATCCTGATCGTCAGTCAAACCATAGAGCAATGTTTATAGTACTGTCAGCGAACACTAGTACACACTTGCCAACTAGAATGATTTACAGTAGAATCCCTCTAGTCCGCCCTCGGCTAGTCCGTCACTCTGGTTAATCCGACCGTGGTCGGAGTCGAGAAACTTGTCCCGACTCGTCGGTGACTCACCGTCCGTGGTGTTTTTCTGTGTTCGTTACAGTATATGTTTTACATTGTGTGTACATGTACAGTTTTCTGTGTTTTCAACATGTCAGGAGTGAAACGTAAACACGTTACTCTTTCATTAAATGAAAAATTAGCAGTGCTACAAAGACTGGACAAATGGGAAGATTGCTTATTTTACTTTTTTCTGATAATCCGACCTTTTTTGCGTTCCGACCATACCCCCTGTCCCAAAGGTGACGGATTAGAGGGGTTCTACTGTACTTCTTCAAAGAGAAAATCTTATTACAAATTACTATATAGAGAATCCTTATCTGATAAATTAAAAAATAGCCCAGAATTTAATTTTTATTCTTTTAATTCTTTCCAAAATTTGAACATTAATAAGAACAAGTATTTAAGTTACAGTAAAACAAGTTTATTAAGTATATATTCAAGTATATATAAATAGTAATTTCTATTGGAGTATCATTAAGAAGAACACTTGAGAATTTTATAATTAACCGAAATTTAAACAATTAACTTATTCAATTTTCTGACAAATTCCATCACTATAAAC